GAAGACCCAGCTGCCTTCAAAGACGGGCTGTGGACAGACACCACCGGGAGCTGCCAGGGCAGCACCGCACTGGAAAATGAAAAGAAGACACCAAACATGTAACGACCCATCCACGGACACCAAGATTCCAACAGCACTTCCCTGCTGGCCAAGAACCACAGCTGGAGGAGCAAAACCTGGTGGAAGTGCTGAAGTGCTGCTATACCCCAGCAGTGTCTGCAGCTTACATGGTGCCTGCAGCATCCCACGCTTCTACACCTTCCCACACCCCGCACGCTGACAGACACGAATTTCGCCCAAACGCCCCAACAAATGCATTTTTTGGATTTGTTTCAGCCTGATTTTTCGGCCGTCCCTGCCCACACGGTGCAAACAAGCCGCAGCAGGTGACAGGTGACGAGGGAGGTGGGTCCAAAGGACATACATTGACTGCAGCGATCGTGACCATGTTGGAGCCGTAGAGCCGCAGCCACATCTCCTGCACGGCTCTCCAGAACTCGCCGTAGTGCTCCACGTTCTTCCCACACATCTCCATGATGTCCAGGCCAGAGGAGAATATTTTGGGGATAGCCTGGAGTTGGGAAAATACAGACATCCCTTAGAGTCGCTATCAGCCTTTAGCCCTCGGCGTGGCAGCCTGAGGAAAGTGATAATTATATGTGATATGAGGGCCTTTTGGGGTTCTGAAAGTATCTCCCCGGTGCTCCCACAGCCTGGATCATCCCACCACCACGGCCTGCAGTGCTGGGACTCTGCCTGCCGCACGATTTCTCACTGTCAGGGTCCCTGTGGGGGTACAATCAGCCACACAGCACAAAACCTGCCCTGTCCCACTCCCAGGCACCACCTCGTCCCCACATCGTGCCTGAAAACAAACACTGACATCTCCTCCAGGAGATCTCACGGGATGTGTCAGGTTGGTAGATAAGCAGATTTAATTTGCATGACAAATGACAACACTTGGCTGTTGTTCTGCCAGAAGGGGGCACAGAAAGAAGACCACAGCCCTTCCCAGAACCTCCTCCCCTCCTCCCAGAGCCAATCAAAGCTGCCTCCGGGCCCTCCTGTCCCAGTGACCAGTGACCCCAGAGACCAAACACGAGCAAAGGACAACACCTACGGATGTAATGATCACACCCCGGCAGGCACGGTCGTTCTCCAACTTCTCCAGGCTTATGGAAAACTCAGTGAGGAAGTCCAGGCTCAGGCTGTTCACCGGGGGACTCTTGAACTTCATCATGGCAACGCCTGTGCCAGGGTTAACACAGAGATATCAGACTGCCCAGCACAGCAGCACACAATGCCCTGCCTAGGGCAGCCTCACCTGCCTCCCTGTTTCCCTGCTCATCTGATCGTGTCTTCCCACTCCTGGCTCTTTAAAAAGCTCCCAGAGCTGCAGGGCCAAGGGCAAGGTCCTGCTTTTGCCCAGTGAGCTGGGCTCACTCAGCCAGTGATGGACCTGGAGCACAGACCAGGACATGTGTGGTGGCACCTCACGTGTCCCAAAGCCCTTCGGGGTCACGCTGGTCAACACTTCCCTTCTCTCTGGGCTCAACAGGTAAGGTCAAGCCTGTATGTTTGTCCCAGTAAACAGCTTTGCCCGGGGGATTACAAACCTGACTGAGCCTGCCAGCACCACGGGAAGGGCTCTGAGCCCTTGTCCACTCCCAGACGGCTCTACCCTGCCCCAAAAGCTCCTCCCCAAATGCATAGTTTGGGTGCTGCAGCCATGCCATGCCATGCCCAGGATGGGCACGGCGTGAAGACACACCTACGGGCCTGAAGGCAGGAGCTGGGAAGCCACAAGAAGAGGCACCTTTGTTGAGTGCAGGGACCGTGGTCTCGTGACAGCTATTCCTGGTAGCAGAAATTCCCAACAGCTGTTCCCTGAAGGAGCACTGCCACTCTACCGGGTGCCCAGAGCAGGAACCCCTCAGAGGGGACGGTGACAGCCAGGGCTGGCCTGTGGCACCCCAGCAGCACCAGCCATGCGAAGAGCCCACACCCAGCAAGGCTCCTGACCCCAAACACTTCAAGAAGCTGCAGCTGGAACACCTGGGGCTTTGGTGGCTTTCCATGCCCAGGGCCGCACGGGACAGGGATGGAAGTACCCCACGGTGCCCATGGGTCGCAGGTGACGCACCACCGTACCTGAGCTCTCGTCCAGATCCACCTGGATCTTGTTGTTGCTGAAGGCACGACATGGGGCGAGCGGGAGCTGCCGGGCGGCCCTGTCCCACGATGGGGGCCGGCAGCACAGGGACAGCACACCTGGGGGACACAGACAGGTAGGGACAGGTAGGGCACGGCCCCCACGGCTGTGGGGCGCGCTCCCCAAAGCCGCTCTGCACGGACAAGGTGGGACATGGGGACACCCTGACACACTGAGGGAGGATAGAGGGACACCCCATCCCATGATGGGGGACATGGGGAACACCATGACCCGCTGAAGAAGGATGTAGGGGCACCCCAACCCAGAGCAGCGGACACGTGGGACACCCGCGGCAGGGGGACACGTGGGGCACCCACGGAGTGACAGTGGGGGGTATCCTGGCGGCGCGGGGGCCACAGGAAGGTGTCGGGGCCAGGCCGAGGCCGGGGCAGGGCCCAGGTAGGGCGGGGTCCGGGCGCACCTGAGCGGGCGATCCGCCGGGCCAGGGTCGGCGCCGCCGCCATCTTCTGCCGCGGCTCAAGGGTACGGGGCGGGGCGATGGGCGGGGCGATGCGTGAGGGGAGGGGCTTGGGACGGCCCCGCCCACAGCACACGGTCCGGCAGTGCCGATTTGAGGCCCCGCCCACTGCAGCGAAGGCACCGCCCATTGACTGAAAGCTCCGCCCACGGTTGGTGCTGCTGCGCGCACGTGCTGCCCCCACGTGGTGGCCCTGCCTGCACTGCCCATACAGACGGCACAGACACCACTGCCCTGCCTGCCCTGCCTGTACTGCCTGCACTGCCCATACAGACTGCA